GGCTAAGACCTGAATGACGTGAGGGTGGGAGCCGTGAGGGATCTGGTGGAAGCATGTTCAGGCAGACAGCCATGCACTACTCTAGGACAGGAACTCTAGACTCTCCAGGCCATGGAGTATTATGACAAAGCTGAAAGAGCTGTCCTCAAGGAAAGAAGAGAGAAGAGTACATCTACTCAATGGCCTCTGTGGCCCATTCTGGGTCTGCAGGGACCAGAAGCAGCTGCCGGACAACGGAAAGCTTGTTGGCGGTGGTCTCACCAGACTGCTGACACACCACTGTCCCTTGAGTCTTGACATTTTGCCCAGTAGGGTAAAGAAGAAAAAGGGAGTAACTGACCTTTTTCCTGACATTCAGGCAAAGAGGCTTGTTTTATCTGAGAAAAATAAAGTGGGCTTCGCGAGACAGTTCATGATCATTATTTTCTTGAAAGTTATTCTCTACTTTGAAACTCATCAACAGCTTGCTACGGTCCTGAGGAAAGAGCCCAAATCACAGGATTCTGCTTCAGTCACACTGGGTTCCTGCATCAGGCCCTCCTTTCTGAGCCTTTGCAAAGGCTGTTCCTTCCTTTGGGAACACTCTTCCTCCCTTGTCGGGGCTAACCTCCCTCAATCTCGGTTTAAGTGTCAGTGGTCTCACTGGAAGTGTTCCCAGACTAGCTTAGGTTCTTCCATCAAAAGTTTCTTAGCATCTTGTTCTTCTTGTACCAACATAGCACTCATCATACTGTACTGTAGTCTTAAAGATTTGTCAAGTAATTCAGACATTCAAAGAAGTATAAAAAACAATATAGGGATCACCCATAGGTCTATCACCTCAGTTAAACAATGAAACATTGCAGCTGAAGCCCACTATGATGACATGTTGCTCCCAACCAATACCTGAGTTTGGTGTTCATCTTTCCATATACGTCTGTATACTAATTATTATATATGCATATATACCTAAACAGCATATATTCTTGACTTCACACTTTACATCTAAGTTATTACAAAGGTATTTCTGCAACTTGCACTTTGCCCTTATTTTTGTGATTCATCCATGTTGATACAAGTCACCCTAGATCATTTCTACAGCTGTATATATTATGCCACAATCTACCCCTTTTCTTCACTGATCGACTAAATTTAGAGTTCTGCAAGTGTTTGGAATTTCTAAGCGCTCTGCTCCCTGCATTCTGAACGTGTCCCCTGACACGCAGATGACGGTTTCTCCGGGTGTACAGCTGGTAGTGCGCCCGCGGATTCCTCGTGCCCGCGCGCCTCTGACTTTGCATCCAACACTGACCGAGCTCTTCAGGGTGGTGGTACCCACCGAGGCCCTGGAGGTGCGTGTCCCCGGCGGACGGTGGCCGCCCTGGGCGCTGGGACCCTGCGTGTCTCGCTCCCCACGGCCTTTGCAGAACTGTGGGCCGAGGACGCGAACACCCGTGTGCAAGGTGAACGACCGGACCCAGGAATGGAGCAGAATGCTGCTCAGGGCAGTGGCCGGAGGCCGGGGAGCGGGGGTCGTGGCCTGCGGGCGGTGTCTGTCCGCTGGACCGAGAGCTCGGCGGGCTGGGGGTGACTCTCCGCTCCTCTCCGGCCTCGAGCGCGGGGAGCTAGCTGCCAGGCACCCCCGCCACCGTCCCGCCAGCCGCCAGGACTCCCCGCCGCGGAGCCTCCAGCCAGCCGCCCGGCCCCGCCCCCTGCCGCTAGCGGCCCCGCCCCCGCCCCGGCCCCGCCCCCCGGCTCCGGCCCCGCCCTCCGCCCTTGCCGCTAGCGGCCCCGCCCCCGCCCCGCCCCCGCCCCGCCCCCGCGGGTGAGTCAGGCTGCGGGGACGCCGCGGGAGGGAGGCGATGACGGGCGCGCGTCCGTGCGGCGCGGAGCAGCGCAGGGTCCGGGAGCGCGGCGGCGGCGGGACGGCGACGGCGGCGGCGGCGGCGGCGGCGGAGGAGGAGGCGGAGGAGGCCCGGCGGCCCAGGCGGCGGGCGGCATGAGCGGGGCGCGGGGCGCGGGCCCGGCGCTGGTCGCGCTGCTGCTGGCGGCGTCCGTGCTGAGCGCCGCGCTGCTGGCCCCCGGCGACTCCCCGGAGCGCGGTGCCGAGGCCGCCCCGCCGCGAGGTGAGTGCCGACCGCGCTCCCGCCGCCAGCTCCGCTGGGCCCGACTGTCCGCCTGTCCCTCCCGGGGTCGCGCGCCCGCGGCCGGCTGGGCCTCGTTCGGGAGAATCCCGTGTCCGGAACTAGTTGTGCTGGCGCGGCGCCATAGCGAGCGGCGGCGGCCGGGAGCGCTGGGCCGGGGAGCGAGGGCGGCGGCGGGGACGGCCTCTGGGCGGCCGGACTCTAAGGTCCCGGGGCCACTTGTCCGAATGCAAGGACGTCTTGGACGGGAGAACGGGAGACCTGTTCCTCCCCACATACACGCAAACTGAACAGGAGGCTGGCGGCGGAAGGGGTGTGTGTGCCGGCGTCCCGCCCTCGGTGCCCCCGTGTGCGGGGACTTGAGCGCACGAGGAGTCCGCGCGGCGAGCAGGACGGAGGGCGGCGCGGGGCCTGCGCGCGGGGCGTGCTGCGCGGGGAGGGCGGGCGACGGCGGGGCCCTGCGGGGGGTGCAGGCCGGCCTGCTTGCGGGGCCCGGAGCGCGGCTGTCCCGGGGAGAAGCCGTCCGTCTCTCCGAACTCAGCGGGCGGCGGCGCGGGGAGGGCCCGGTGGTGGGAGGGGCGGCCGAGGCCTGGGTCGGGTCCCCTGCGGGGAGGCCGCAGAACCCGCTCCTGGCCTGGAGGGGCGGGGGGCGGGGTGCTTTCGCTGGGGGCGAGTCTCCCGCGCGGCCGGCGCTGTCGGCACTCGGCCCTCCAGTGTTTTCCTAAGTCGCCTCATCTCCGAACTCCCGGGAGAACGGGGACCCCTCCAGACCCCAGAAACGAGAGTCCCAGGGCCCTGGGAGAGGACAGTCCCCAGCTCCTTCCCAAGGGACGCTTAGTTCGGGACCCTGGGATCGGTCCACCGCGGCAAACCCTGCTGGGTCAGGGCTTGGGGAAGTCAGCCCACCACCTGCCTCTTCCCCTCCTCCCAGCCCCTTTTCCTGTAGCAGAATAGGGGGGTTTGGAGTCAGTCCGCGTGGTCCAGACTGCCCTTCCTCCACAATCAGAATCCTTTTTTTTTTTTTTTAAGATTTTATTTATTTATTCATAGAGACACACAGAGAGAGAGGCAGAGAGACACAGGCAGAGGGAGAAGCAGGCATCCTACAGAGATGCCTGATGTGGGACTCAATCCAGGGTCTCCAGGATCACGCCCTGGGCTGCAGGCGGCGCTAAACCGCTGCGCCACCGGGGCTGCCCCACAATCAGAATCCTATAGGGCAAAAAAGACACAGTGAATTTTGAAAAGCCATCTTGGCTGATTACATTTTGTACTACTGCCTCCCCTACCCGGACTCTGTGCCCTCCACTCCCCTTTTATTTTGGAGGAAACAGACCCTAAGAGGTTATGTAATCAGGTCAATCATAAATAGTCAGGGACAGATCCCCTGCGATGCTGTTTCTTTGTACTTTAGCACCAGTTAATGGTGATAATTATTTTAGGAAAAAGGTGGTTTGTAAATATTAATACTGGGGGGTGAGGGAGAACATATTAATATTCGTCAGTGATCGACTCCAGAACCTTCATGAAACTGTGTTAAGAGGACACCAAGGCTTTTCGTGTCACCTTGGGTTAAGTTTGGGCTGGACAACTTCCTACTAAACTCCATTTTGTATGGTTAGAGGACTCAAGTTTACTTAGGAAAAAAACATAATAAATAGACTGTATCTTTAAAAATTTGCCCAGCAAAGATACTCATGAACAGAGAGAGCTAGAACCAGAAATTAAATATTTGGAAACAAAAGTCTAATATACAAACAGCACAGTTCCTTGGGCCCTATTGAGAGGTTTATCTTTATCTGGTTTATGTCCTCACGAAGACGGGGAGGAACTTGTTCTTTTGGCTATCATGCTCCTTGAGTAGTGTCATAGTATTTCTAAGTATTTCAGAAGTTGGCAGCTTCTTCTTGAAACTGAGCATACAGTTCAACTTAGGTGTCATGGTGGGTGGCTTGGGAGTTGAATCCCTATGATGACTATCAAGACCTGAATTCATAAGGAAATTGAAGCATAAAACAAGAGCCTTGCTCTACCACTACTAAAGGCTCACTACCACTACTAAAGGCTCAGGAATATGAATAAAAGCATTAGTTTTTCCAACTATGAAGGGATGATGATCTGTAAAACAATTACAAATGAAAAGGCCAATGGATAGTATAATTTTGAAAATGAAAACTATCAAAACTGAATAAAGGAAACTAAAAACTATTTGAAAGTGGTATAACGTTTATTGATGATAGCTATGACAAAGGATTTAACATCTGTACTATGTAAAGAAATGACACAAATCCTAAGAAGAGCTCTAAGATGGAAGGGTGTTAAATAACAAAAACTCAACTGGGTAAATTTAAAGATCACATTGGCTCTATTCAATAATTCATGAATTGGCCGGTATCCCATCTAGCAAATAGAAAGGAGCTCCTTTGAGCTGCAGAAAAGGAAAGGTTTTTAAAGGCAGAGAGGGAGAGGAGAAAAGGAAATTATTAGCAAATAATGCATTTTAGGCCAGGATGCCCCCCTAGCGGTAACAAAGGGTCTATCAGTAAGTAGATTACCTTCTGGTACTGGCCAGGAAGTCCCAGGTTGGCTGGTTAAAGGTCATTCTGGGACATGAAGGTGCGATTAGGTACTAAGTCTTGGTGGGGTGTAGCATAAGTGACTCAATTTTGCGCCTCCTGTCTCCTTTTTAACCATCTCCACCTTTTGATCAGACTCTCAGTGCAACTGAAAGGTGTGATCAAAGTATGAGGCTCTAACACCACTCTCAGCTCTGCAGTTCTCAGAACTTTGTATGAAATTTAGTTGATCATCTGTGTGGTATCCATAGGTCATGTTGTTGTTTTAAAGATTTTATTTATTTATTCATGAGAGACACAGAGAAGCAGGTTCCCTGTGGGGACACCGATGCAGGACTCGATCCCAGGACCCCAAGGATCACCACCTGAGGTGAAGGCAGATGCTCAACCACTGAGCCTCCCAGGTGCCCCAGTTTTGTTTTCATCTCTGTGTGATTCATGGGCTACAATTTCTAGGTTTATGGTCTTCCAGGTTGGCCATCTCCTCGTTCCTTTCTGATGTTCCTGTATTAAGGGGCTGCAAACTAACCACCTTGAGTTCTTGAGAGACTATAATACACTGGGGAGATTACTATGATTGTTATAAGCAGGATAATTCCTAATGTCTGGAGTGCATTTCAGAGCCACTTTGGCCCTCAAGACCCAAACCAATCAAAATCACTTAAGTCCAAGAATAACCCTGTTGAAGGAATCACCGGTGGAAGCCACGTGGCCTGCTCCAGGATCTCGTGCATGAGTTTCAGCTTCCCCAGAGGTGTTAATTCAGGTGCCACAGGTGGTTTTGGTCATAGTGCAGACATCTCCTTTTTTGGCTAAAATATAACCAACCTGGGAGATAGATGTGATGGCATTATCTTTCTAGGCTGGTACCAGAGTGTCAGAGTAAAGGACAGAAGAGGTGGAAGAGAGTTTCATGATTAGTTCAAATATAAAGTTTTGATCTGGCATCTGAAGAAGCACCCTGCTTTGGTGTCAGCCCTTTCTCTTCCTATTGGATTTAGTTTGGAAGTCCCCAGTGCCTTTTTTTTTTTTTAATTTTTATTTATTTATGATAGTCACAGAGAGGGAGAGAGAGAGAGAGAGAGAGAGAGAGAGAGAGAGAGAGAGAGAGAGAGATAGGCAGAGACACAGGCAGAGGGAGAAGCAGGCTCCATGCACCAGGAGCCCGATGTGGGATTCGATCCCGGGTCTCCAGGATCACGCCCTGGGCCAAAGGCAGGCGCCAAACCGCTGCGCCACGCAGGGATCCCGAAAGTCCCCAGTGCTTGTGTAGGACCGACCGCGTGTCAGATGGAGCCTTCTTCAGGAGTGAGATGCCTATCCAAGGCTTAAGTCCTGAAGTCCCCCTGCCTTCTGGATGGCGAAGAGGGAGATTCAAGGACAGTCTTTGTTCTTGGTGATTTCCAAATCAGAAGAGTGGGAGAAAATTGGAAACATTAGTTTGGAGAGTTGGAGCCATGTTTTTGAGGAAACTAAAGTAATTCAGGATCCAGTCCAATTTATAACAGAATATCAAAGACAATTAGCAGGATTAGAACCTAATATAGACAATATATCTAATATAGACAAAGATGTACACATTTCTTGTCTCAACAATTACCCTCATTTTTTATAGTAAAACTAATTTGTTTGCATTAACCTTTGCCTGATTATTTTCTTAAGTGCAGTAACAATAGTGATTGACCATATAAACTTTTTTTTTAAGTGGTTATAGTTTTTTCTTTAAAAAAAATACTTATTTTTAAGTAAACACTGTGTCCAACGTGAGTCTTGAGCTCACAACACCAGGATCAAAAGTCCACATGCTCGGCCAGCTGAGCCAGCCAGGTGCTTTCCGCTTTTATTTTTTTTTAATGTTTTTTAAAGATTTATTTATAAGGGGGGGAGGGGCAGAGAGAGTCCCAAGTAGACTCTGTGCTGATTGTGGAGCTCAGCAAGGGGCCTGATGCTCAGAGATCACAATCCAAGCTGAAACCAAGAGTCGGATGCTCAACTGACCATGCCATCCAGGTACCTCTCCCTCTTTTAAAAAATTTTATTTTTTGACCATATAGGCTCTTTTTAAAAAAAATAAAAAATTTATTTTTTAAGTAGGTTTCACACCCAGTATGGAGCCCACTGTGGGGCTTGAACTCAGGATCCTGAGATCAAGACCTGAGCTGAGATCATGGGTCCTATGCTTAACTCCCTGAGCCACTCAAGTGCCTCAATATAAGCTCTTTTTAATACTACTGTTCTGGAACCTTGTAAGCAAGGTGTTACATCAGTTTTTCCAGGAGGCTTTATTGGCTCTGCAAAGTCAACCTTGATGTGGAGAACAAAGGCAAAAGAAATACAGGGGAAAAAATTAAACTTCCTTACCACTTACAGCCCATTGACAAGTACTTGGGGCAGCCAGAGTGACCTTACTCTAGGAACTCAACTGCCTTAATGTTAATACTTGGCTAGAGGCAAAAGGCAACCTTAGCTTGACCTTACCCATCGTACAGGATCCTTAAGTCTTTAACATATAGAAAATCCCTTTGGAAACTTCCTTTATCTCTACCTGTCCACCCACCCCAAGATGTATGTTACCAGTAGTCCTCCACCCATATGGCCCACTGATACAACTGAAGGGTCTCATGATTAAGGGTTTACTAGACAGTAGCAGATGACCTTATCCTACTAACAGCTAGCCTTTGAAGGTCCTGGAAACCTTGCTTCCAAATTCCATAGGGACTTGCATGATTCCCTAACCCCCTGATTGATCAGTGATAATTGATTACTCCTCACAACCCCAGTGAAGCTCTTTCTACCCATGGGTCTTGTCCCCATGCTTTAATAAAACCACTCTTTTTGCATGAAGATGTCTCGAGAATTCTTTCTTGACTGTTTAGTCCTGGAATCCAACATTTCCCATCAATCTTAGTTCTTTAATGCTGATCATATCTGAGTCTATGCATATTTCTCTCAAATAGGACATGCTGGTCAAAGCTTTAGGAGTACAGCCAAGGTTTCCAGTGGTGTCTGGTTATAAGGATCAGACTCATCTAATCTCTGCAAATAACTATTGCCATGAAAAGAATACCCAAGAGCTTTCCAATCCTGGAGGAATTAAGTAGGGAGAAAAATTAATGTTTCGTCTTTGTTTACAAAGGTATATCTTATCAGTTTGTTGATACCTTAAGAGAACAGAAAAAGTTTCTTAAAATCTGGAAAAGCAAAATGTTAGAGAACCAGTTGTATTTTAAACCAGAATTCATAAAAATTATAATTATCCTCCTTGGTTCATTCAGTCCCATGTTATTCATGTCCTACTTGAATATTGTTTTTCTAGTTCTGAAAATTCTTTTTTTAGATTTATTTATTTATTTATCTATCTATCTATTTATTTATTTATTTTAGAGAGAGTGTGCAAGAGTAGGGGGAGGGGCAGAGGGAGAGGGAGGGAATTCCAAATAGGTTCCCCACTGAGCATGGAGCCTGATGAAGGGTTTGATCTCATGACCCTGAGATCTTGAAAACCCTCAGACCTCAGACCCTGAGCCAAAACCAAGAGTTGAATGTTCAACCAACAGCCACCCAGGTGGTCCTCCCTTTTTATTTTTTTAAAGATTTATTGACTTACTCATGAGAAACAGAGGCAAAGACACAGGCAGAGGGAAAAGCAGGCTCTTTGCAGGAGCCCAGTGCGGGACTCAATCCTAGATCCCGGGATCACGACCTGAGCCGAAGGTAGCTGCCCAACCGCTGAGCCACCCGGGTGTCCCAAGGCCCTCCCCCCCTTTTTAAAGATTTATTTATTTATTTATTTTTTAAAAATTTTTATTTAATTATGATAGTCACAGAGAGAGAGAGAGAGGCAGAGACACAGGCAGAGGGAGAAGCAGACTCCATGCACCCGGAGCCCGATGTGGGATTCGATCCCGGGTCTCCAGGATCGCGCCCTGGGCCAAAGGCAGGCGCCAAACTGCTGCGCCACCCAGGGATCCCAAAGATTTATTTATATATTTGAGAGAGATTGAGAGTGCACTCATGTACAGGTGAGTTGGGCGAGGAGCAGAGGGAAGGACTCTCAAGCAGACTCCTTGCTTAGCGCAGAGCCAGAAAAGGGGCTTGCTTAGTCCCATGATCTGTGAAGTCATGACCTGAACTGAGCTGAAACCAAGAGTCTGATGCTCAACTGACTGAGCAACCTAGGTGCCCCATGGTTCTGGAAATTTTTACCCAGTTCAGTTGCATGATCTGAAAGTTATCAGAAACCTGTATTCTAGAGTACTTGTCAGATTCCTTTCCATGAATTTCTCTGAAGATGAAGCACATTTGCAGGAAGTTTTCATAAAAGCATCTGAATAAAACAACTCTCTGTAAATGACAAAAAATGCCTATTCTTAAAGATGTGATGAAAGGTCATTACAATGGAATTGACAGGGAAATTTGATTATTTTTGTGAGTGCATTCATTTTAAGATAATAACTAGAATTACAGCTGTTAAAAGTATGTCAGTACCTATTCGATCTTCAGGAATTTCATACAGTTTCTGGAACACTTATATTAATAACACACATCCATGCAAATATAATCTAAGAAGGCTTAGCATCATCTGTTTGACTAGAGTCCCATGTAATTTAACATACCAGATAAGCCTATTTAGTATAACATCTTCGATTTTATAAAGAGATTTTATAAGAGATCTCAATCCTTTGAGATGTTCCAGGGACTATCTGGAAAACCCAAAGTTAGTTCAAGATCAGAAAGACTTCATTTAGAATTTGATTTTGGCAAGTTTGTTAAAATATCAAAAGGTTTGGATACTTAAATAGGATCATATGTCATTATGAAACAATACTTATCCATTTCACCAGGTAACAAAAACTTCATAGGCAGATACAGAAAGTCAAATAGTTGTACAGAGCCATAGCTATTTTAATATTGAAAGGACAAAATTTTTTTAACTAATCAAAGACCTGATAGAGACAAAACAATTTTTGTTTTTCTAGGCAGATTACATGAAAGATGAAGAAAAACTTTTGTTTATAATATATTAAGAGCAGACCAATAACCTGAAAGAACTTTGTCCTTTTAATGGAGAGAAAAACCAAATTCTAATTTTGCACCAGTGTACTTTTGATATTTAAGCTCATTTTTAGGGGCCCCTGGCTGACTTAGTGGAGCATGTGACTCTTGATATCAGGGTCACGAGCTGGGGCCCTATGTTGGACATAGAGATTACTTTAAAAAAAAAAACATTTTAAAACATTCATTTTAATCTTAGCCACCCTGACTATACATTAAAAGTTCCTTTTCAAAGATTCCTTTTCCACAAATCTTCAACAACTTTCTTTTTTATTGTCAGAATTTGTCCTGTGTATTCCCTCTGTAACTAATCACTCTGATTTTAGGACAGAATTCCTTTTTTTTCCCC